GGGTGCCCATCTTCCCCGCCGCCGCGTCCTCCGCCCGCTTGTTCGTTAAGTCTAGGTTGTGCGCGATGTCCGCCATGACCTTGACCACGCCCTCGTTGTCCTTCTCCTCTGGGTCGCCGAGGGCTCCCGCCGACCTCCGAACCTTCCCCGACGGGCCGTAGTCCTCCTCGTCAAAACTCACCCGCGATCTCCTTGCAGGAACTCCGAAGGTAGGTCCAGCCCTGTGTGCGACTAGGTCCATGGGAGGTGGTGTGGGGTCCTGCCCTTGCCGACCCGACGGCGGGCCCCGACCCAGCTCTGCCCGCGCGGTGCTGCCCCGCAGGTCGACGCCTTGAGCGCCCAGGTCGGTTGCCCGCCGCTTGGGTCCCCACCCTCGAGTGTGACCCCCTTCCTTTCTGGTGGGTTGGCTGGACTCGAGCGTCCTTCCCAGGCCTGGAGGCATCTCCACCGCCGCTGGGCGCGCTGTGGGAGGTGTGGGCGGCCGCGTGGGAACAGGATCTGGCCGTGCCAGTCCCTCCTGCCGAGCTCCTCCTGCCACCTCCTCCTCATGCGCCTGGCTCAGGCCGCGCCTCTCCCTCAGCAGCTCTACCAGCTGCCTAAGGTTCCCCAACTCGTCGTCCGACATGAAGGAACCGCGGTCCCTCTCCAAGGCTTCGAATGACTCGACGATCGCGTCGCACGCATCTCCCAAGTCGTCGAAACCTTCGGTGTTCTGGTATCTCTCGGCGACGTCCAACGGATGTTCCTCTCCGCACGCCCGTGTCTTCAGGAACTCCAGCGCCAGGGCCGCCTCACCTCGGCGACGCCAGCGCTCCCGAGCCGCCCCGTTCAGAGGGCCTCCAAACTCTCCTCGAGTTAGCGTGTCTCTCCACGGCGGCTGCGTCGGGTACGTAGGGGGGCTCGGGAGCGGCGGCCTCCGAGCGCGTGTGTCGCCTCGTCCTCCTCCTGCCTCCTCAACCCCTCGCGTCAGGATGCACAAGGGGTGGTCCTCCCTTCCCGTCGCGCCGCGCGCCAGCGCCACCCCCACCGGGCTTGCTGTCCTGCCAAACTCGTCCATCCCGTCGGGTATTTGGTTTGCCGTCCGCACGATGACGGCTGGCGCTCCTGCCGCTACAGTCTCGGCACGCACACGGTCATCAATGATCGGCCCCAGGTTGGACGGGACGGTGGCCTGGGCGTCGAGGCCTGGGATGCGATACGTAGTCCAACCATCCTCCTCGGCCACCAGCTGGCACCCGTAGCAGTAGTACTTCTTGGCCGTCTCTGCGCCACGGGGGCCCCGCACCATGGCCGTTAGCCATGCACCACTTGCAGATACCAAGGGTATGATGGCACGCCCAGCTGTCGGCGTAGGCGATCTCGACCTGTACCGATGGAACTGCTCGGACGCCATCCCCGCCACCACGGGCACTGGTCCCTCGGCAGCAGCGGCGAGATGAGCGGGCTCCTCTCCCGACAGGTCGTGCTCCAAACACGTCAGCACCCCGCGGCTCATAACTCTACCCAGCGCGTGGCAGCCGAGGTGCGCACACTTCCTCACTCCTCTCTCGCGTTCGTAGGCGTTCGTGTGCTGCCAGCACAAGTTGACTACCTTCTCGGCCCCCTTGACATTCGACTTCTCACCGTCCTCCGTGACCAATCGAACTGGGGCCCCTCGGGCTCGATCTCGGCACTTCTCCTTGCACAGCTGGAATATCGTGTCCCCCTCCTGGTACAGCACCTCGTGGGCCATGCAGCGCTGGTGTTCCGGCTCCGACTCCGTCTCGGAGTTCGGGTCCTTCAGCAGCGCAGCTGGGGTGTCGGTCTTGCTACGCCTGCCGCGCTGGCAACCGCTCTGACCGCAGCGCTTAAGGGACCCGCAGAGCTTGGCACACCCCTTCAACCCCACCGCTGCACAGCCCCGGCCGCACGATGCAGCAGCGGCTCCCGCTGCTCGCCCGGCCCAGCACGGCTTCGGCGCTGCCTCTACCAGCGCCTCCAAGTTGGTGTCCGTCTCCGCGGTCACGTACCCGTACGCGAGTGCATGCACGGCGTAATTGCCGTCGTCCGTGCACGGCGTGTCCCTGAACAGGTGCACCACCTTGTCCTGGGAGTCCTCCAGGAGGTCCCGCAGTCGCCGTGACGTGGTCGCGAGCACCTCGCGGTACGGCCATGCCACCCCTGCCTTCTTGTACTTGATCCCAGTATTCAGGGGTGTGTCGCCCACCTTGATGATCAGGTGATGCGGCACTTTGTCGGGCCCCTTGGCGCGGAGCTGGGCGTAGAACTCATTCTCCACGGCGATGGCGGTGGCTGGTCCGCGTAATTCAGGGACCACTCCTTCCTCCGTGGCTGCGGCCGGCGGCGTCGCGGCTGGACAGCACCATCCCAACGCTCGACCCAGGCAACGGAGCGGGGAGCAGATCAGCACGTTGACCGCCGAGGCAATGGAGTGTAGTCCGTAGCCCAAGCCAATGACGAGAGCCACGATCAACCCCGCGAACGTCGTCCAGCACAACAGGGGCCAGCCAGTGCCGAAGGCAGCGTAGCCCACCGTATTGAGCCCGCTCCCGACTAACCCGCCTCCGCCCACATCAGGTCCGACCACTGTACCTCAGACGGCGGCAGGTCGGAGATCCAGCCCCCCAGCCAGCTCACCCCGAACTTGATTCCTCCGAAGCTGAACCAGCCCCGCCGCTCTTCCTCCTCCTCTGCCTCGCTCCCCGCAAAGAGGCCCTCGGCATGCTGCGCATCGGACCGAGCCCGCCGGGCGGGGGGCTCGCGGCGCCGACCAGCTAGCCAGCCCCACAGCTCCGCTCGTCGTCGCCGCGGGCTGCTCTCCTCGCTGTCGCCCGACGGCGCAGCGCGCCCCACTGGGGGCTGCTGAGCCGCCGCCTCCGGGGGGGGCTGGCGTCCCTTCCCTCCCGCGGGCGGGGGCTCCGCCAGTCCAGGGGTGGGTCCTCGCCCCTTCCCTGTGGCGGGCGCTGGCCCTGCGGGTGGTGCTGCTCGGCGCTGCGGCCCCTCGGTGGCCGCCGCCGCGCCGCGGCGCCGCTGGTCCTCCTCCAGCGCCCGCAGCAGAGGCTCGTACGCCCCTCCCCTGTCCTCCTCGGCCTCTGTGGGCAGTGCGCCGTCAGCGGCTCGAGCTGCGGCTGGCAAGGATGGCGTCGGCGGCACTGCCCGCCACCTGCGGCCAATCTCGACGGCGGCCACGGCCCCGATGATCATTGGCAACAACGCCTTCATGCAGGCGTTTCACGCCTAGACGCACGCCTCCTCCTCTATGACAGCGCCCCTGGGCGCCTCATCCTCCCATGGCTACCCCTGTGCGGCCCTGGGCCGCGGGGCGAGTCGCGCCCCCGCGCGTCTAGCCCCCCTCAAGGGCCCGAGAAGGAACTTGAGCCCCAGAGGGGCCGCGGAGAGGGGGAAAGGGACAGAAGGCAAGAGAGACCCTTCCCCCTCACCAGGCACTTACACCCTGGAACCCTACGTTTTACGCACGGTCAAACTCTCACGAGGGAGGAGGGAGGAGGGAGGAGGGAGGAGGAGAAGGGAGGAGGGAGAGGGACGAGAGAGGAGGGAGGAGGAGGAGGAGGAGGAGGGGAGAGGGAAGGAGGAGAGGAGGAGGAGGAGGAGGAGGAGGAGGAGGAGGAGGAGGAGGAGGAGGAGGAGGAGGAGCAGGAGCAGGAGGACGAGGAGGATCAGGATGAGGATGAGGAGGAGGTGGCGGAGGTGGAGGAGGAGGAGGAGGAGGAGGAAGAGCAGGAGGAGGAGGCGGAGGAAGAGGAGCAGGAGGAGCAGAAAAAAACAGGAGGAGGTGGCGGAGGAGCAGGAGGAGGAGAACGATTAGGAGGAACACGAGTTATAGTTATACTAAGTAGAGTAAGAACAACCGTAAACAGAAGGGAACGAAACATAACAGTAATCAGAAGACTAAGAAGAAGACGGTGACGACATTGAAAACACATACAAATACTGATACACTACTAATAGTAATAACACAATCAATAAGAATAGTATGAATAAGAATGATAATAGTAAGCAGACGACGAGGAGGAGGAAGAGGACACGGAGGTGGAGTTGGAGGTGGAAGCAGAGGAGGGAGGAGGGAAACACGTCGCATTATTTTATCAGCACTTCCCTGGCGTGGTGTTTAGTTGTCCGCAGCAGATCCTCACCTACATGCTCCTTCTACCTGTCCTGTGCACGCAGGCGCTGTGGTGTACACCGGCGCTGCATTGCACGCGGATGTTGTGGTGTAGACAGGCGTTGTGGTGTGCACGGGCGCTGCCGTGCACGCAAGCATTGTGGTGTACACAGGCGCGATGTTGCACATGGATGCAGCAGTGTACGCATTCGCCGTGGTGTATACAGGCGGTGTGGTGCGCGCAAGGAGTGTGGTGTACACAGGCGCTGCGCTGCACACGGCTGTCGCGGTGTACGCAGGCGCTGTGGTGTACACGCGCGTTGTGGTGCACGCGAGCATTGTGGTGTACACAGGCGCTGTGGGGCACATTGCCACCAACATGCTGCTCCTAGTTTGCCCCGGTCATCTCTAGGCGTTCCTGGACGCTGCCGGCGCGGAACTCATGTGGTGGGGGGGGGCGGGGCCGATGACGGCCGTCATCTGCAGCTCGTCCACAACACGTACTACACCCCCATCGCAGTTCCTGCTATTGCTCTTGCTAGATCGGCTGGACTGTGCTGCCTGTTTGTTTTGGGTGGCGTAAGTCGCTACGGTCCCCATGGAGGCTGGCTTCGCAATGTTTGACCGAATGGCTGGGAAAAGAACTGGAGGACGGATGTGGGAGGTCAGGCATAGCACCTTCCCCAGGGGAGGGGCCAGAGTCACTCTCCCTGTCATTGTCGGTCCTTCCCTTCATGCTCTCTCCTGAGTCTCATTATTCGTACAACGAGCTGCCCCTTGGCATTCCAGTTCCCTTTTTCCCTCTCGTCTTCGTTTCCTCGTCATCCTCATCATCCTTACTGGTTTGTCTTCTTCCCCCCCACCCCTCCCGGGTGAGGCCAACCGAATCCCGCTGCCGCCTCCGGGCCTGGGGACGTGGGGCAGTCGCCGCGGCCTGGGTCGGCTGGGTCGTGGTCTGGGTCTACCTGGTCGGCAGGTGACTGGGCGAGGGGGTGCTCCTCCTCTTAACCCCTCCTCCCTCCCTCCCTTTTTTCTCCCTCCCTCCCTCCCTCCTGCCCTCCGCCCCCCTCCCTCCCTCCTTCCCTCCTGCCCTCCTGCCCTCCTCCCCCCTCCTCCGTCCTCCGCCTTCCTCCTCGCCCCCTTCCCCCTTTATTTCAGCCCCCTCTCCCTCCTCCTCCTCCTCGTGCCCGTTTTCGTCGTCGTCGTCGTCGTCGTCGTCGTTGTCATCGTCGTTTTCCTCCTCATTCGCCCTCGTCATCTCGCGACCACGCGAGGTGGCGTCGCGGCGGGGGGAGGGCGCAAGAGGGATGAAGGCCATCATGGTCTGATGTGAATCGGGCCTGTTACTTGTTTTCGAAGCTCCAGGGGCTTTCCGTGGCCACGGCCGATTCTTGTCGGTTCGCGTATCCCCACCACGGCCAATTTGTAGCGGCCGCAACCCGACCGTTACCCGCCGCCGCTGGCGCTTCCGCCCAGGGGCTGTAACAAAAAAATATCCCCACCACCTTCATCTTTGCGCTCCCCGCTCTGACTGGACTCGTCGCTGGCGCGCTCGCCTGCGGCCGCTGATTAAAAAGTATCCGCACCACCCAATCCAGAACCGATGCCCCAGGGAGTTTTCGAGAGGAGGGACGTATGTTGAGAAATTATGCACGCTTCGCGTATCCCCTGGCTCAAGGCTTTTCACGGGCCTGACCCCTCCCGGTCAATCTCCCGTGCTCAAGGGGGCGGCCGACGCAGCGCCGCGCGGCCAGGCCCGCGCCCGTCCGCCGCCGCGCGCGCGGCTATCGCGGCATCCCCCGGCGAGGCATCGCTCAGCCTGGCCTGGCCCACGCCTCAGGCAGGTATGGGGGGTGCGGAAATCGATGAGGTCGCGACCGATCGTCCTGGCATCAATGGGGGAAGTGGAAGTTCCACAATGTCGGACCTGGGGGTCCAAGAGCTGGCCCCGACAGACCCGCCCCCAGACATCAGCTAGTCCCAAATCCCTCCTGGGCAACCCTCGCCCCCAGCCCCGGTTGCAGATCGTGATCCACGCCCGCCGATCACGCTGGGCCATGTTCTGCCAGGCGGCCCCGGCTCCCCGCGCGAAGGTCCAAACGAAAATTCGGCCGTTAGCCGCGACGGGGGTGGGACCCCAGCGAAGTGCTCCGAAATACAATCTGAATGTGCGACCGTTCGTCGCAAACTTGGCAATCCTGGCAGCTATGAAGACACGTCTCTTCCCCTTCTCTCCTTCGATGGTGACATCTCTCCGACCTTATTCTTTTCGTCCCGGTGGTCCGCCCGTCGCCTTGCACCTCGGAGGGGGCGACCCATCGGCGCCCGGTGCCTCGGCTGGCGCCAACTCCACGAGGGGCATTGGCCCCAACTCCCCGCGGGCCCGTAGGGTCCAGAGTCAACCCCCCTCAGCTCCAGAGCAGAGCCCCCTTGCCCCGCAGGGAGTTATAGAAGACGAACGCGAGTGCTCTGGTGAAGCTCGAGAGGAGGGAGGTGGCGACGCCAGAGGTCTGACGCCTGAGTGTGGCAACAATCCCGGCGGCGTCTTCCTTGCTGCAACAGAAAGCGCGGCCGTTAGCTGCGCGGGGCCCCCGCGAGACACTTGCGACCCTTCTGGCGGGGCGTGGGCAGACGCGGGTGGACGCAGTCGTGCCCTGGCGACGCGGGAGATCGGAGTGGCGCCGCCGCCGCCGAGAGCGGCGCGCCTGGCGAAGTCTCCGCTGCTGGCTCTAGAGGTTATCCAACCGAAAGCGCCGCCGTTAGTCGCGAAGTCGTGCCTGGCAGCCCACCCGACGAGCCTCGGCCTCTCCGCGCGGGAGGTGGTGGAGATCAGGGCCCGCCTCGAGACAGTGCAGCCTTGGCCTGGCTTCGACAGCAGCCCACACTGCAGTGCCACTGCGCCGGCGCGGCTCGGCCTGGCTGGCTGCCCGCGCGGGGCAGGCTCTCCGAACCCGATGGGCCCGGATCAGCCCGAGATGGCCGCTCAGCCAATCGGGAATCGACCTCCCCGCTCAGGGCCCCACATTCTCACTTGATTCCCCCCTCGTCGCCCCTCCTCCAGGTTCCCCTGCCCCCCCGGTACCCCCTTTCTCAAGCGGGGGGGGGGGGGGCGCGCGCGCCCCCCCCGGCGTGCCGGAGAGAGCCTCTGCCTCGGCAGGTCCCCCGCAGGCCCCGCGGGGCTCCCCCGACTGGTCGCCCGCGGGGGACTTGCTCATGCCCTCGGCTCGGACGGTGCAGAGGGCGAGCAGAACAGGAGAGGGTTGCGCTGGCTCTACGCCACAGGCCGCGCGAACGCTAACTGCAGTCAGGGCCGCGAGAGCGACGGCCCCAACAGCGGCCAGAGGGTGGCCGACCCGAGGGCCGCGAGTAGAGGCGGCGCGCTGCGCGCGCGCCTCCGCGAGAGCACGCGCGTGGAGGGGCCCTTGCGCGAGCTCCAGGACAGAGGGCAACCTTGGACATCTGAGCAGAACAACGGGCTGGAGATGCTCGTCCACCATTGCTGGGGGCGGCGCCGCCCAGGGCGCCCTGGGCTCCACGACGTGCCCCCGCTACGGGCCGCCCTGGATCCAGCCGGCGGCGAACGTGCCGACGCCGCGCGCCTAGCCGCCGCGCGCGCCCTCGCTCGCGTCGACCTGGTGTGGCTAGTGCGGTCAATCCCAGGTGCTGACTTCGAGGGCAGACTGGGTGGGGCACGACCCGACCGAGTGCAGATCCTGGCCACCCGCTACGCCAGCGTCACTGCGATTCCCTCGTAGACGCTGATAGACTGGACTACAACATCGCGAGGTACGTGCGTGCGTGCGTGCGTGCGAGGTGCGCGCGCGCGTGCGTGCGTGCGTGCGTGGACCATAGCTCGCGCGCCTGGAGCACGAGGCTCTGTGCGCAGCAGCCCGCAACGGCGACGTGGGGATGGCAATCGCTGACAGCGTCTTACCAGATACTCTACTCGCCCCAGCCAGGGGGCGCCTCGACGGCGCCCCGAGTGCGATGTCGGGGCCTGGCCGCCCAGATGGGACCATCGGCGACTTCTTCTGCCCCGGCCGTCGCTGCCGCTATTGTGGGCCCTGGCTACTTAGGGGGCTGGGCTCGTGCGGTTGCAGTGCGCGTCGGCGTCTCGCGCGGCCGCGGGGCGTTTTTGAAAGGGGCCTGGGCCCGGGCGCCTTCTGGCTGCCCTTTTCAGCAGGCCCCCTGGGTGCCCTGGGCCAGGAGGCCCCCTTCCAGCTCGCGAGGGCGGGTGCTCGGTGCGCTCCCATTGCGGGGCGCGCTCGCGCCCCGAACGACCCTGGCCCAGCAGGCGACGCGCCTTTCTGGCTCGCGGCCGAACTGCTTGGCGCCTGGGGGCACATGGCAACCCTGAGTACACCTGGCTCGGCAACCGCTCGCGCGGCAGGGGGGGCTGGGATCCGAGCCCCGCCGGGGGGCCACCTATGCCATGCAGGCGCAGCTATGCTCTGCTCTCAACGAATGGGCACTTGACGCCTGCATGCGCACGCGGTCGCGCGTCTTCGAATGCCCGGTCGGAGCGGGGCTTGACTGGTGGATGCCGCGCGCCCTGGCCCGCCGAGCCGTCGACGCATCGCCGCTGAGTCCTCCCAGGGATCCTCCGCGGATGCGTCTCTCTGCCGCTCTCCCTGGCAGCGCGGGCGTGAGCGACGACGACCTGGAATGGCTGAGGGCACAGATTGGAGGTGACTACCTAGTCCAGGCCGTCGGCGCCGCGCCGAGACCCGATGGAGATGCCCCCCCCTGCCATGGAGACAGCTGCTGCAGACGCGATGCGCGGGGCCCCCGAGGCAATGGCCCGCCGCGACGACAGAGCCAGCCACGCCCAGATGCGCCCCATCGGCGCCATGGGCGCCCTGGTGATCGATGCCATCGCAGGGGGGATTCGCGCGGACCAAGCTTCACCCACCTCGCAGGCAAGACGAGCCAACGACGAGGTTGCCCACGTGGATGTCGACCCCTCCCCTGGCGCAGCGAGTGACGGTCACGCGGCCGCCCCCTCCGACCCGCGCCCAGCGGTGGGCGACCTTGATCCTGGGGACAGACTACAAAGCAACAGACTGATTGACGATATTCGTAGGGCCAGGGGTCTGGTCGCCACCGACAGCGTACCCAATGGAATGACCTGGAGCAGAATCCTGGCCCCCTACATCTGGGACTCCGCCACAGACCAGGGCAGGGCTGTGCTGAGGGCCACGTTCCGCGCCACCAGCGTTAGCCCAGCCATCGTCGACGCTGCTGCAGCCTGGTGGAGGGGCCAGTCAGCGCTCTCATATCAGGACGCACAGGTGGTTATAGCCCGCAATGCGAGGACGATGGCTGATCTTGAGGGCGCGCGCGTCGACGCCCCGCACGTCGGCGGCTGCGTAGCCCCCAACCTGCAGGAGTGGATGATGGAACGGATTGACCCAGACGATGCGCTGCAACGCGGCGCCCTCTCCGGGGGCCGCCAGGCCGTCGAGGCAGGAGCAAGAGCGCGTGCTGATAGGGCCTGGGACCGAGCAGCAGCCGAAGCCAGACGCAGCCACTCTACACCAGAAGGCCGCGCCATGTCGGTTGAAAATTGTTGTCGCTTCGCGAATCCCCACCAGCCCATCCAGAAACGATGCCCAGAGGAATTGCCTCGATCAGAGAAGTGGGCAGCACACAGAGGAAGCCATTATGAGACATCTTGGGATATCTTGAGCCATCTTGGAGGTCATTTTGGGCTCTCCCAGACGCTCTTGGAGTCATCTTAATCCGTGCCCCCCCCCAAGAGGCCTCCATGTGGCTAAAACCTGTGTAGAATCAATGATTAGGCATTCTCGCCGAGGCCTCTTGGAGCATCTTGGGTGCATCTGGGGGGGCTCTTGGGGCCTCTTGGGGGTCTCTTGGGGGCCTCCGGGGGGCCTCTTGGGGGCCTCTTGGGGCCATTTTGGGGCCATCTTGGGACCTCTTGGGGCTTCCTGGGCGCTTCTTGGGGCCATCTTGGAG